CTAGAAACGATAACCAAGTTTAACAAGAATTTCTAATGAACTATCTCACTAACAAAAATAAGGTCTAGTTACAAAAATTGTGGACATAGACTAAAGAGAATTCCATGGAAGACCAAACGATGTGTCTCACTCTTGAACTCGAAGCAATCACCGATGTCCTAAGTGTGATCCGTCAATAGTGGTGTGAAGATGCTCTGTAGTAAAAAAAAACAGCAAATGTAGAATCAATACACAACCACCGTGTATTGGTAGGATCACGTGACTGTCCCACTAGTATACCATAAACAAGCAATTACAACATTATAACACAAGCATCAATATCAACATATTCAATACTATCATTAGAATCAATATCACAATTGACATGCTTCATCACATAGTTGGTCCTCTCACGAAATCCAAAATCAAACTATTAGCATGCCGGTACATGACAATCCGATCTCATTTTTATGTCGGTGTTGTTCATCTTTTATTCCTAACATACATAGAACAAAACTTTGAAGAACATTGTAAGACAACAAAGTTTAAGAACATTTTCACGACTAGAAAATTAAAATTAGTAGAGAAACTAGAATGAGAAACATAATTATTTAGTCATAATTAAGATATTTATCATCATTAAATACTATCTTTTATTTAGCCATAACTCATTCATTTGATTAAATTTTCAATTCTTTTGGCTTATTTCAATTAAATTTGGGAACTGTACATTTGGAAATGACCGAAAGACTATATTTTTGAAAAATATATTAAGCAACATGCCTTTTCTTCTTGATTGTTAGGAAAGTAAGGTCGTCTTTATTATTATCTTTGGATGTTTGTTAGTTCAAGAGCTCAAAAATTATGTTGTTAGATTTTAATATGTGATATGTCGAAAATTATGTTTAATATATCCCGTTGTTGACTTCCAAATGTGACCTACTGCTTAGTTGATGATTGCATTATTTTTTTCAGACTCCATATTATAACCATAACATTAAGTATGGTTTTATAGAAATAAATTTTTGGCGGTGATATGAAACTTTCAAAATAGTAATGTTATTTTGAGACAATTACACAAAAAACATTTATGATAATAAAAAATTTAGGGTCATTTTTATCATATAGTTGATGTGACATACAATAATAAAAAAGAGATTGATGAAGGTTCATAAGAAAGGAGTCCAAGGTTGTTCATATAAATTTAGTTAATTATGATCTTGTATGGATGTGATGTTCCACTTAAATTTGGAATGTTGTTGTTTGACGTTTTTTTGACTCTTTTTTTAATGTTTGAAGTTCTTTGTAACTTCTCGGAATTTAAAAAATTTCATTACATTTGACCAACTATTACGGGGGAGATTTTCTTAGACTTTTTTTTATATTTAAAACCTATCTATGACTCATAATTTTTGTATAACAAACATGAAATTTTTAAAAAAATATATAATACTTTAAGGATTTTGGAGGAACGCGTTGCTTAAGATAAAATGTTCTTGACAATGTAGTATATGTATCGAAAATACAAATATTGTTGAATGATCATATGTAATCTTAATAAAATAATTCAATCCCGTACAAAGGATGGGTAATTTACCTATGAATGATGTAAATATGTAAAACTTTGGCCTTGAGAGGATTTCTGGTTATTCAATAACTCTCTAGATTAGATTTGATTTTCAATTTATCTTTGATATAATGTGTTTAAGTCATATTCTTTTTTTTTATTTTAAAATTTTGATATCACTTAACTTTAAGTTGAATGGTTATATTGTCCTTTCTAGCCATGTCAATTGATAAATCTCGGATTGGCAAACCGCAAAACACTTCGGAATATGCAAATGGGGTAAAAAAGTTTCTTGATTTTGCCTTTTAGAATGGATTTGTTGATGGTGATGTAATTAAATGTCCATGTCCGAGATGCCATTTTAATAAGTGGCAAACAAGAAGTGTTGTTCAAGAGCACCTCATGTTAAAACCTTTTCCAGTAAAGTAATAAATATGGTATTTTCATGGTGAAGGCTTAAATACAACTATACCACAAACATTTCAAAGTTCACGGATCACAAAAGAAACTTTGCAGCCTAGTAATCCGATGGAATCCATGATTAATGACACATTTGGATTGACTGGGAACAATATGAATGAACATGATGTGACTATGAATGGAGAAGAAATATTTAATGAAAAGCATACTGAAATGCCTAATGAAGATTATGCAAAGTTCTATGAATTGATCGAAGATGACTAGCAACCATTATATGAAGGGTGTACAAGATATTTCAAATTATCCTTGCTACTCAGATTATATCATATAAAGTGTATGTGTCGAATGGCTAATAAAGCAAATGGTATGGTGCTGGAATTGTTAAAAGATGCCTTTGAAGATGCCAAGATTCTTGTTTCCCTTTATAAGGGAAGGAAAACCATCTACAAACGTGGTCTTAGTTTTACCAAAATACATGCTTGTCCAAATGATTGTATGTTATACTTTTGGGAACACGATGAAGGATTGCAAGAATGCAAAAAATGCAAGACATATAGGTTGAAGGATTGTAAAAATAAGCAACCTTCAAAGATTTTGTGCTACTTTTCATTAAAAGCGAGGCTGCTAAGATTGTTCATGTGCTCTAAAACTGCCGAGTTAATGAGATGGCATTCTTTAGGGGGTGACCAAGATAGATTAATGAGGCATCCTACATATTCTCAGGCCTGGAAAACATTTGAATTCCTTCATCCTTAATGCTTCAGAGCCTCGGAATGTTCGACTTGACCTAGCTAGTGATGGTTTTGATACTTTTGGAATTATGTCATCAACTTATAGTATTTGGCCAGTGATTCTTTTTCCATATAACTGTCCTCCTTGGGAGTGTGTGAAACAATCTTCATTCATTCTCTCAATGATCATTCCAGGAAAGAAATGCCTCGAAATGACATAGACGTCTACTTACAACTTCTTATCCAAGTGTTGAAGATATTATGGCATGATGGGGTCCAGACATTACAATCTTCAAAAAATGAAACATTTAAAATGTAAGCAGCTTTAATGTGGACAAGAAGTGATTTTCCCAGACTTGGTAAGTTATCCTAATGGAACACATACACTTAATTTGCTTGCCCCACATGTAACTTTTCTACAGACTCATACTTGTTGAAACATAGTAGAAATTGGTGTTTTATTGGTCATCGTCATTTTATTGAAAGAGGACATGGATTTAGATTGCAACGTCTTCGTTTCAATGGAAAAATCGAGAAACGGGAGTCGCCAGTTACATTATCAGGATCAAACATATTGAAACAAATGGAGGGAATTAATGTCAATTTTGGAAAAGCACCCGAGTCAAATAATAAGCTCAAAAGAGAAACAAAACCTACAGAAAAACTACAATTGCTAGAAAATGGTGAAAGAGAAGGGTTCGAGACAAAAATTAATAGACCACGTCGTGTTAATGATAATCTTGGGGATAGAGGCTCGACAAATTCATTTAGCTTGTTCCCACCAGTTGGTAAAGGAGTAGAGCTGAAACATTTGAGTTGTCACCAATGGTAAAACGTCAAGCTCATCGATATGTGGTACTAAACTGTCTGCAAGTCATGCCATTCATTGAGTGAATATTTACACTGTTGTGTCATTCACTTTATATATGCATATATTCATTCCCTATATAAAATATCAACACTTGAAACTTGAAGGGAGACTATATGTTACAAGCTTCTGTAACATTATCATTCTCAGCAATTGTTGCAAAATTTCAGTTGTGTCAATACTTGCATCATAACAGATCAAGATGCATCGTGTTCAGGTTATTAGCTGATGAACTGCGTCGCTCCTTTTAATGTCAAGAATGTGAAATTTCTAGAATACAATACTGCTGACCCTTAATTATCCGTGAACCTGGAAGAGCAGATTGATAATTATATTAACAGTTCATGTAGTGAATTTTAAAATTATATATGAAGCCGGTGAAAGGGCCGAAAGCCTTCATGTATGGATATAGAGAAGATAATTAATAAAAATTTCAATGATTGGTTTCCCCGAAAGGTTAGTTTCATCATATATTTAGAGTGTTGTACATTTAAAACTATTCCTTACATGGATTTTTTCCAGATTATGAACCCGGACATTTTTTAACACTGTATCGGATGACCTTAAGTTTCTAGAAAATGGTCCAGAACAACATGCTAGAAGGTTTACAATATTTAATATCAAAGTAATCAAATTTCGGACCAAAAGTTGAGAATATGAGCTGAAACTCAGAATAATGGAGTTCTTCTGACTTCGTCCACATCTTGTATTGCTAACTGTTGTGATGGAAATTTGAGGCTTTCCGATTTGCCTTGCTATGGAAAATTGGAAGACATTATCGATCTCAACTATTATTGTCAATTTACAGCTACATTATTCAAATGAAAATGGGCTTACACAACAAGGGACAGGGGGTTTAAAAAGGATTCATGGGGATTTCCTTCTATTAACTTTTGACAATTGATTCACAATGGTGATGTGAAGAGCATAATCCATTCATTGAAGCTTCACAAGCTCAAATTGTATATTATGTGGATGATGAGTTAAATAAAGGCTGGAGTACAGTTATTCACTTGAATCCAAGAGAATTATATGATATTGGAGAGGAAGGAGAAAATGAAGTTCTTGAGAGTGAATTTCTTGTACAAGACTTAGATCAATTCTTTGGTGACGTCAATGATCTAATCTAGTGTACAGAGGATGAAGCTGATGAATTGCCCGTGCAAGACTATATTGGTTTGAGATTAGAGTCACTTTTTGATTTCTCTTACTATTTTACTTAGCTACTTTTGTTCATTAGTTAAGCTTCGGTTGACTTTTTCTTGAAGTATTCAATTTGTATGACTCTTTAAATTAGACTAATTCAGTGTATTGTAATTACTTGTGTTTGAATCATTTTTACTTCACCTACTTAAATAAATCTTGATTATATCTTTGTTGTCTTTAAAATTTGCTATAGGTGTGCAAGTTTATAATCTTTTTAATGTGTATGCAGGGATGGCGAAGCAAAATCAGTCTAAAAATATGTTCAAATCAGCGGCGAGCTCTTCTCTTGCTCCAGGATACTTTCCACAATCTCAGGATCAAGCTTCATCATCAAAAACAAGTCGACATGTTACATATTCATCATCTGATGGAGACTCTTTAAAATTTGTTTCATCTACTTTTGATGGAGTTTCTTCAAAGCAAACAAAACATAAAGACAATGAAGTCAATCATGATTGGTTTGTCGATGTTATAGGTACATATAAATGATAAAATTTATTATAATTTTTTACGTTCTTAGCAACTAACGTAAATTTGGTCTTTATTTTGTTTTAGATCAAAATCAAGTAACAAAAACAGTTAGAATGAAGATCAGGGATGTCCATAACATGGAAAATGGATTGCGGATAATTGTAGAATGTGATGAATAGGCTGCACCTATTGGAAAAGCAGCCGGAATAATTGCAGGTATTATGGTCAGACATGCCAGATTCTTACTTGGATCGTGTTTTTAATGAAATCCTGATTGTACTTCCTTGTTAAATATTTTTCTTAGTTTGATTCTTTTAGCTAAAACTGCATTAAACTAACATTACTCTGTGAAGGCTCGATTTCTCTTAATGATTGATCATCAAAAGGAAAAAAGATGGGTTGGCAGTAATCTTAAGTGGAAGGACCACAGGCATAAACTATGGTATACCACAGAAAATCCATTATTGAGCAAAGAAGAGATCATTACAACATCTCCAAATGGAATACCCATGGATCAATGGGCACCGTTTAACAATTATCGTATGGACGAGAAAACACTAGTACTTAATTCTTCCTTTTTTTCTTTCTATTACTTGTTTTTCTCTGTCATTATTGTGGCCCTTTTATTGACTTTCTACTGCTACTTCTTTTCTGTCACATATTTCTTCTTTACATGAAGTTAACTGTTCATATTGTTCTAATCAAAACCTGTAGAAACTTTGCAAGAATCAACAGATTCCACAAAATCAAATTCCTCATACCAGAGGTGCTAAGAGTTTGGCTAGAAGAAGAGCTGAAATGGTAGTTTAATACAATGTTCTTAGATATATATTCTCTTAATTATTTATTAATGTCTTACAATTTAAAAATTTTAGAGGGCAAAGGGAAAACATGTTGATCGAGGTAAAACGTGGACTGAGACTCATAAGAGAAAAGATGGAAGTTATGTAACTGAGGCGGCTAGAGAGATTAATATATGATTAGTCGAGTAGCTATCGAATCAGATTTCTGGTTTTGGTGACAGTAAAAAAAGTAATGCTTCAATTGAGATACTGAAATTGAGGACTAAAAACTACTTCCCTAAAACACAATATTCTTAAAGTTATTGTTTTTTTTCTGTATGTGTTTAGTTGATGTTGATGTAGTACGGATATCAGTCTATGTACTGAAATGCAACAGTGAAGCCTTCCTTTGAGTAGTAATTCTACTATGCAGCAACAACCTGTTGTTCTTTTCCCTTCTTCTTCATGAGTTGCTTGTTGTGAAGCACTATTCATAATTAGGTATTAAGAACTTATCTTACGACTTAAGACTTAAAAGTGTGTCATAATCAATTGTGAATTGCTACTAAAAGCTCTAGATGTTTGCAATCTTTATTCAAGTACCTACTGAATGATATGGCCAAAAAGTAAGTAATAAACAAGTTACTACTAAAAACTATAGATATTTGCCGCATTTGCATTCATATTTCTTCAAGTATCTACTTGGTTGCAGCCGCTTCTAAAATTAACCATAACCAAGTCCCACAACTCTAGAATTAGAGACAATAGCATTTGAAGATATTACCAAATCGTACAATCTGAAAATTTAATAATTCGAAGATACTTGGCCCCTCTATCTTCATAGAGTGATCAACTAGTATCTGACAAAAATAGTGAGCTTGTTTTTCTTTGACACATAAGAAAATTGAAGAAACTCGAAGGCAAACGCCAGAAAGTATTCTCGAGGTTTCACCTTTATGATGCACTTGACATAGTACTCGGTCTCAAACATCCAGGACGTGTTTGAGAGCTAGGCTTGGGTGTTGTTCCAACTATGGCATTCAAACAAACATCTATGAGATTTATGCATGTTAATGTGAGTTCATTTAGCTCTAGCAATCCAACTCCAAAGTGGCAGCAAAAGATGACTAGTATGAAATCACAATTAAATGCGCTATTAGCTTATATCAAAGAAACATAAGAAACATCCCTGAAGTTTTTATTCACTTATTTCCACCTCCTTCACAGGTATGACCATTATAAATATCTTTGTTTTATATCCCCTCTTTCTTTATGTCCTCTTTGGTGCTAGGAATTCATTTCTAATTTTCCTTCATAGACTTCATAGTCTGTAAATCCACTAAAATGTGATACTACTTGTTTGTAATGCAGAGTTTTTCTTATTTTTTATACTACAGTGTGGGATTAGGATCTAGATAAAGTGGTTTGTCAATTAAGAAAGGTTAAAATATTTTAGGAGTAGGTCTCAAGATGAAAAAGTGATCAAATGCTAACTAACAGTAACGTAGTACATCTATCTTGAACTGAATCTATTCCTCCGGTTAATGCAACTAACAGTACAAATGGCTCGCTAAGTGTATATCTAAGTTACTTAGACATTAAAAACGATACTTTCATTAGGAGTATTTGTTTTATGAATTAACTTTTTAATAGGATCACAAAATGAAATATACGGTGTCTAAATTTTTAAAGCTAAACAATATATATCTTTAAAAGAGCAGATATTCTTTTCACCATTGTTCGGATAATTGAATCTTAGTGCCTGATAATTTGGAAGTTACCTCTAAAGAAATGCATAATGTATGGGGAAATTCCTTCCTTTTACTATACATTTTTGTATCTTTTATCTCTTTAGTTTTTTGTGGTATGAATCTATGGTATAGTGGCGTTAAAAAAATGTGTGCATTTGTTCTGTAGACTGATCTCTTGAAATTGATTTATAGGCCACATGGAGATTTTTTTTTTGATTCGCTTTTTCCTTCCTCCTCAATAAACGTATTAGCTACTTAAGAGATATATTCATATATTTTTTTCTTCTTGGTTTACCCCCATTCCTTCAAGGGGGACGGGATCTGTGCAAGTGTCACCTGTTGCGTTGCATATTTGGGATCTTACTAGACAATCTGGACATTATTGGGGATATTGTGGAGTCCATACCCATTGTTGATAAACATAAGGAAAGTTAAAATGCAGAAATGGTTGAATTTTGTTTGTTGCTTATTGTTAAACTCAACAAATGCTGCAAAAAAATTCAAAGCTCACCATTTCTTTTTTTCAACTAAAATCTTAGCAAGATTCTGCATAGGTGAAAAGGTTGAAACCTTGTGTTTTTTGTGATGTCACTGGTGACATCATTAGGAGTAGATTTTCCTATAAATTCTGAGCCCTTGCTCATTTCAAAAATGCACCAAAAAGAATTACAAAGGAGAGAAAGAAGAGTGAGGCATCACAGAGGAAAATAATCTGTGAGAAAAAATAGAGAGTGTGAGCGATACTGTAGTGAGGTGGAAAAATCAAAAGAGTGTTATTTCTTTTGAATGTGTAGTGGTCTTTGGAGTTTTACTCAGACATACAAGTGTAAAATCCATATTATAGTGATATTTGTTGCTCCTCTCGGGTCGTGGTTTTTCCCTTATTTAGGAGGGTTTCCACGTAAATTCTTGGTGTCATTATTTCTTTTTTATTCTCGTTGATTAACCATATTATTGTGTTCCGCATTTATTGCCTTTATTACCACAAATAATATTTCTGTTACGGATTTATTCCCAACAATTTGTATCAGAGCACACGTTCTGCTCATTTACAGAAATATTTTTTGTTACTTATTGTACTATACTCAATAAAAAAATGTCCGGAGTAAAGTACGAGTAGCAAAATTCAACGGTTATAGTGGTTTCTCAACGTGGCAAAGAAGGATGAAAGACTTGCTCATCCAAGAGGGTTTGCACAAGGCACTAGGCGGCAAATCCAAAAATTCCGAATCCATGAAACATGAGGATTGGGAAGAAATGGATGAAAAGGCTGCTAGTGCAGTCATATTGCACTTAACAAATGATGTAGTTAATAACATCATTGATGAAGAGAGTGCATGTGGCATTTGGAGAAAGTTAGAAAATCTATACATGTCCAAACCGCTAACAAATAAATTGTACCTAAGGAAGCAGTTATATGCGCTACATATGGGTGAAGGTACAATTTTTTTGTCTTATTTAAATGTACTTAATGTACTAATCACGCAGCTAGCAAACCTCGGAGTAAAGATCGAGGATGAACATAAAGCCATAGTGCTCATAAACACGTTGCCATCTTCCTACGATACTTTAGCGAAAACCATTTTACATGGTAAGGACTCTATTGAGTTGAAGGATCTCACATCAGCCCTTTTGCTTAATGAGAAGATGAGAAAAAGGCTTGAAAATCACGGACAGGATCTCATCACGGAAAGTAGTGGCAGAAGTTACCAAAGGAGCTCAAGTAACTATGGTCGATCCGGAGCTCGTGGAAAGTCTAAGGTCCGATAAAAATCGAAGGCCAGAAATTGCTACAATTGCGATCAACCAGGACACTTCAAAGGAGATTGTCCAAATCTAAAAGGGGCAAAGGGGAAAGCAGGGGCCAGAAGAATGATGACAACACAACTGCCATGGTGCAAAATAATGACGATGTTGTTCTACTCATAAAAGAGGAAGAAGAATGCATGCACTTGGCAGGTATAGAGTCGGAATGGGTGGTCGACACAACAACATCTTATCATGCCACACCGGTAAGAGATATTTTTTGCAGATATGTAGACGGTGATTATTGCAATGTGAAAATGGGCATCCTAAGTTACTCAAAGATTGCAGGGATCGGAGACATTTGCTTAAAAACAAATGTTGGATGCACATTACTGTTGAAAGATGTGCGCCACGTACCTGGTTTGCGGATGAACATGATCTCGGGAGTTGCTTTGGACTGAGATGGATATGACAACTACTTTGCAAATAAAAAATGGAGACTCACCAAAGGGGCATTGGTGATTGCAAAAGGAGTTTCTCGTGGCACGTTATACAGGACAAATGCAGAAATATGCCAAGGTGAATTAAATACGGCTCACAAAGAGAATTCTGCAGATTTATGGCATAAAAGAATGGGTCATATGAGCGAGAAAGGATTGCAAATTATTTCCAAACAGTCACTCTTTTCTTTTGCCAAAGGTACAACGATAAAATCGTGTAACTACTGCTTATTTGGTAAACAACATAGAGTCTCATTTAAGACATCATCTGAAAGAAAGTAGAGTATACTTGATTTGGTATATTCAGATGTTTGTGGTCCAATGGAGATAGAACCGATAGGAGGTAATAAATACTTTGTTACTTTTATTGATGACGCTTCTCGAAAATTGTGGGTTTATATCTTGAGAACTGAAGATCAGGTGTTTCAAGTATTTCAAAAGTTTCATGATCTAATAGAAAGAGAGAGAGGTCAAAATCTAAAACGTCTCCAAACCGACAATGGAGGTGAGTACATTTCAAGAGAATTTGAAGAGTACTGTTCAAACCATGGAACCAGACATGAAAAGACAGTTCCTGGAACCCCAACACACAATGGTGTAGCTGAGATAATGAATCGCACCATTGTTGAGAAGGTGAGAAGAATGCTTAGAATGGCTAAATTACCTAAGACATTATGGGGTGAAGAAGTTCGGACAACGTGTTATCTTATCAATCATAGTCCATCAGTTCCGTTGGAGTTTGACATTCCGGAGAGAGTTTGGACAAACAAAGAGATGTCTTACTCGCACCTAAAGGTGTTCGGTGCAAAGATTTTGCACATGTACTGAAGGAGCAAAGAACCAAGCTAGATGATAAATGAGTTCCCTGCATATTCATCGGATATGGAGATCAAGAATTCGGGTACACACTATGGGATCTTGTAAAGAAGAAGGTCATCAGAAGTAGAGATGTAATCTTTCGAGAAAGTGAATTTGGAACTACTGATGATCTATCCGAGAAGGCCAAGAAAAAGAATTGTATAATCCCTAATCTTGTTACAATTCCTTCTTCTTCTAACCATCCCATAAGTGCAGAAAGTACGATTGATGAAGTTGTTTAGCATGAAGAGCAACCTAATGAGATTATTGAGCAGGGGGAGCAACTTGGTGATAATACCGAGCAAATGGAGTACCCAGAAGAAGAAGAACAATCTCAACCTCTGAGGAGATCAGAAAGACAAAGGGTAGAATCAACCAAATACCCTTCCTTAGAGTATGTCCTTATCAATGATGAAGGTGAGCCAGAAAGTCTTAAGGATGTTTTGTCTCATCACGAAAAGAGTCAAATGGATGAAAGCCATGCAAGAAGAGATGGGATCTCTATTGAAAAATGACACATACCAGCTAGTTGAACTTCCAAAAGGAAAAAGACCACTTAAGTGCAAGTGGGTCTTTAAACT